TATGTCTTGAGAATATGGTGGGCAAAAGATCTGCTCTGGTAAGATAAATGAAGAGAAGGATTTTGTCTTGGTATTTTTCTGTATGGTCTAAAGTTGGCATATGTATTCTGTATTGCCAAAACCACCAGTTGGGTATTTTAAATCTTGTCTTTTGGATGGAATGCATTATAAATATCAATTAAGTCTATCTGGTCTAATGTGTCATTTAAGGCCTGTGTTTTCTTACTGATTTTGTGTCTGGATGATCTGTTCATTGATGTAAGTGGGGTGTTAAAGTCTCCTACTATTGTTGTATTATTGTCAATTTCTCTTTATTATGTCTGTTAACATTTGCCTCATATATTGAAGTGCTCCTGTGCTGGGTGCATGTGTATTTACAATTGTTGTATCTTCTTGGATTGAACTTTTGATAATTATGTAGTGTCCTTTGTCTCCTATAACAGTCTTTATTTTAAAGTCTATTTTGTCTGGTAAAAGTATTGCTACCCTGACTTTCTTTTGACTTCCATTTGCATGGAATACCTTTTTCTATCCCCTCACTTTCAGTCTGTATGTGTCTTTAGATCTGAGGTGAGTCTCTTGTAGGCAGCAAATATACGGGTCTTGTTTTTGTATCCATTCAGCCAGTCTGTGTCTTTTGGTTTGGAGCATTTGGCCCATTTACATTTAAGGTAATGATCAATATGTATGTTCGTATTGCCGTTTTGTTAATGGTTTTCAATTTGTTTTTGTATGTCTTTTTTCCTCTTTCTTATTTTGTTCTGTTCTCTTGTGATTTGATGACTATCTTTAGTGTAATATTTGGATTCCCTTTTCTTTTTTGTGTGTATGTCTATTATAGATTTTTGATTTGTGTTAACATGAGGTTTTTGTATAGCAGTCTATATGTATATGTCATTGTTTTAAGGTGATGATCTCTTAATTTCAGTGCATTTTTAGATACCCTGCATTTGTACTGTCCTCCCCTCATGGTTACTGTTTTTGATATTATCTTCTTTATCTAATTATTTTATGTATCCCTTAACTGCTTATTGTGGATACAGATGATTTTACTACTTGTGTCTTTTAATTTCCTTACTAGCTGTGGACGATTTCCTACCTTTACTGTATGTTTGCCTTTACCAGTGAGCTTTTTCATTTTGTAATTTTCTTATTTCTAGTTGTGGCCTTTTCTTTTCCAGTTAGGGAAGTTCCTTTAGCATTTGTTGTAAAGCTGGTTTGGTAGTGCTGAATTCTTTTAGCTTTTACTTATCTGTAAAGCTTTTGACTTCTCCATCAAATCTGAATAAAAGCCTTGTTGGGTAGAGTATTCTTGATTGTAGGTTTTCCCCTTTCATTACCTTAAGTATATCATGCTAGTCCCTTCTGGCATGCAGAGTTTCTGCTGAAAAATCAGCTGATAACCTTATGGGAGTTCCCTTGTATGTTATTTGTTGCTCTTCCCTTATTACTTTTAATATTCTTTCTTTATCTTTAATTTTTGTCATTTTGATTACAATGTGTCTTAGTGTATTCCTCTTTGGGTTAATCGTGTATGGGACTCTCTATGCTTCCTGGATGTGGGTGACTGTTCCCTTTCCCAGGTTAGGGAAGTTTTCAGCTCAAGCCCTTTCTGTCTCTCTTCTTCTTCTGAGACCCCCATAATGTGAATATTAGTGTGCTTGATTTTGTCCCAGAGGTCTTTTAAACTGTTTTCATTCTTTTTTCTTTTTTCTGTTTAGCTGCAGTGATTTCCAGTGATCTGTCTTCCAGTTCACTGATTCGTTCTTCTGCCTCACTTAGTCTACTATTGATTCCTTCTGGTGTATTTCTCATTTCAGCTATTGTATTCTTCAACTCTGTTTGATTTTCTTTATATTTTCTAACTCTGTGTTAAAAATTTCTAACTTCTTGCTCTGTGCATCTGTTCTTCTCCCAAGTCCTTTGATCATCTTTATGATCATTACTCTGAACTCTTCCTCAGGTAGATTGCCTATCTCCCTGTCACTTATTTCTTCTTCTGGAGTTTTATCTTGTTCCTTGTTTCCTTATGTCTGAAACATATTCCTCTATTACCTCAGTTTGTCTTACTTCCTCCACATAACTCACTGAATCCTTTTGGCTCTCAAGTTTTATTAGCTAATACAGTAGCTGCTTTCTCTATGGAAGAAAGGGCTAACATCCTTGAAACTCTTAGACTTTGATAGTAAATGTTAAAAAATGAAATAGAGGCTCTCATCTGTCCATAGGAATTCTGGAATATGCATATATCAGAGCACTTTACTTGACTGATCTCAAATGTGAGATTTGAAATGGGTTTGCAGAATTTCATAATTTTCAGAAAGTTTCCATGAAAGCCAATTTTGCAGAAATTTTTCAAGCTCCTACTGTGTATCAGAGATGAACAGAATCATTCCTTCAAAGGTGATACATTAAGAAGGATTAAAAGCTGTATCAAATGTGGAAGTTAAGTTTTCTTTGTAACAATATTTTATAAATGTCATAAAATGACTTTCAACTATGAGTATTTAGTTTGTTCACATAGCATTTTAAGAGAGCATGATTATAATGACATGGTAGTTTTAGAAAATGAAAACCTTTACACTGCATTAATTGACTGAATCTTTTTAGCTTGAATATACAGTAGAACTATGACATACATTTGCTAGGATAGGAATTATACACACAAAGTGCATCAATATCGTGTTCATTTCAGTACTATGTCTATTGCTGCAGTGTACTTAGGAACCTCTCCTCTCTTTCTCTCTTTTCAGCTTCATGCTCTTCACTGATTACAGCATGGCAGACTTATTTAAATAATTTCCTATGGCCATGGAGAACAATTTATATAAATTCTCAGAATGATTAGAGCATTTACTTTTCCCCCAATCCCATGCAAAATTTCCAAGTCTCTTAAAGTATCAATTTTTATTTTATTGAACCTAAGTTAGTAATATTTCTACCTTTTATATTACTTAATCACTTTATACATTTTATATATGTATTTGTATTTATGTAGGTATACATTGCTTGCTTCCAAAAATATACTAGGCAGATTTCAGTAGTTTTTTTGCTGACAGTTAAGATTTGTTTTCTGTTTCTTTTCTTTTAGTCTTAATCCTAATCCTTTGCAAAGACACACATTCTGGACGATTATTATAGGAGGGACCTTCACGTGGACCAGCATCTATGGTGTCAACCAGTCCCAAGTGCAGAGATATATTTCCTGTAAAAGCAGATTCCAGGCAAAAATGTAAGCC